TTACTTAGTTTGACAAAAGTTGACTCTGTTTTGTAACTTCATTCATACAGAGTTTCCGTTCTTATTTTAAATAATTTATTGTTTAGGGCTATTAAGAGCTGTATAAATATAACAGGGATAAATCACCAGGGTTTTAATGTCATAATTAGGATACAATTAAACAAACTTACGTGATCACCTTACTAATTGAAAGCAATCAGTAGGGACAGAAGAGACCATTATGCCACATTCAGAATCAACTTTAAAAAATCAGAGCAAATTTGGGGTTTGTGGCTTTTGAAATTTCAGTTCTGATTTAACAAGAATATTTCTTCATTACTTTACTATTTTAAAAATGTGTTGTTATTCTACATTCATGTTATTAAGATCACAACTGTGGAATTATACCAATGATGATATCTGTCCCAATACATTTTGATAAAAAGCTTAAAGGGTTATTGCAGCAATGCAGAATTCTTAAGAATGCAAATTCTTGGCTATAACTGCCCCTTATAAGATGAAACAATAGTTAAACTGTTAAAAATATATGCAATTGATACACACTACAATCTTTTTACTAGTTGAAATCCAAGGATTTTAGGGAATTAAAAAAAAACAACCAAGAGCTTTAAAAATTTGCTAAGAAATACAAATCTGAACATTTGTGCATTGTTTTTGGTGTTACAAATCTTTACAAAATTCAACCCATCAAAAACAAATACCGCTCTCATTAAATGAGAGAGGTAGTTAGCTGTGCAAGTCACAAGTCAGTCAGAAGGCAGGGTATTTTTGCACTTTTATAGACTAAGTCAGGGATGTACAGCGTAAGCTTTTGTAAGCAGAAGGCTTACTTCATCAGATGCAATGAAGAGACTGCAGGAAGCAATCATTGGAATACAAATGATAGGGAAATGAGAGGAAAATGGAGGGGGCTCTGCTGGGAGATATCAGAGGCCAGCTGTGCTCCCTCACTAATAGGGTACATTATCCTTGAACCAAATCACGAGCATTGTAACATCCAAAGTTCCTTTACCTGCACCTCTCCTAATGTCATATATGCATCAGCTGCTTCCAGTGCCCCTCTGCTGTCTACGTTGGACATATAGGGTGGTCCCTACATGTAAATGAACGAACTCTGATCTGATATCAATACTAGAGAGACAAGCCTGTGGCAGAACATTTCAACCTCCCCGGACATTCCAGCACTGACTTCAGTGGCCATTTTTTGATGACAAAACAAACTTGGAAGGAAAAACTGCAGAACAAAAAATCCACAGACTGGATTGTGTTAAACATGGTCTAAACACAGACTACAGATTCTTATCCCATTACTTAAATTAGATTAGAAACCCAGTCTCCTTCAGTTAGTTAACTGCTTTGTCTCTCTCTCTCTCTCTCCCCTACCTAACTCCTACTTAGCTAAAAAACTCCTACCCACCTAAAAAATAAAATGTTTTTGTTAACTATACATTTAAAACATCTTCTGCATAAAGTAAACTTAGCCTTGGCAATTTCTAATCTGATGCATAAAACATTACCCTCCCAAATCATTTTCCCTTTTTCTATGAGGTCTAAATAAAAAGACAGAAATGTTTGTGTCCGTATTTTCACAGAGAAGAGGAGGGGAGCGTGGGGAAGGCCTGCAGAACACACTAATGAGTTATGGCAGACCACAAATGGAAATCAGCAGCATTTTGGAAAATAAAAGTATCTTTAGAGAAGTAGTAAAGTACGTAACCCTCCTACTTTAGCAATAGCTATCGAAGCAGTGCAGTATCCATGCTTAAAAACTTTGCAATCAGCAAAACAGTTCTTCACATGCTCAGACAGTGTTTAGCTTTCAATGTGTTGTCATCCCATTAGAGCAATTTAATTACTAACCACTATACAATGTATAAATATATCCTGTGATCTGATCTTCTTACACTATTAGGGAGGGAGAAAAGTGTTTCTAAAATTAGTATAATTTGTTGGATGATGCTTTCACTCAGGAGCCCATACTATATATCTTTTACACTGTCAACCCTTTTCTCCTCACTATGTCATTTTGATTAGTTAAACTGTTTGGTTTGGGTGGTATTTTGTGCTGGTGGTTTTAATGAATAATACTCACAGTCAGTGTCTTAATTCCATTATAACAATGTAAATCAGGAGTAAAACTGCTTGTCTGTTTTTATGGGAATTTGATTGTATACTATTGTTATCATTCTCATTATGCTCGCTCAGCATGGTAAAGACAGACTGTTCTATATTATCTTTTAATAGAGCTGTCTGGAGAACAACTCCCCTTGGCAACTTCTGAGGTTTCAAAATTTGTTTCTTGTTCCAGTCCGGAACAAAAATCACCCTTTTAAACAGTTTTGCAAAAGAAAATCCTGTCAAACTACTGATTTGGTCTTGGAAAAGCTCAAGTTTTCAGTTGAGGTCCTCCTCCTCCTTAGCTGGTCTTCTTTCCAAATGAAACAGATACTGGATGAAGTAGCATATTTAACTGAAATTTAAATTTAGCCGAAAATGTTCCAACCAGTTCTGTATTTTGAACAGTGCTATTTGTTTAGCCTTTTACAAAACCCCTGGGAAGACACAGATGCCACTTCACAAAGCTAGCTGTATTAGTATTTGTCATTTTCTGGCTGAACTGTATTACTGAGGTTTTAAGTTAACTTCTCTCCTTAAATGAGGTGCCAGTTGAGACTTGATCAACATAACCCAGTCCTTAATGCACACTGTAACATGTGGCACTCTCTTCAGAGAGTACAGACTAACACAGAAAATCTTACTATTGTGGTCAGGGGCCTAACATCATTCACCGTGGGACAAAATGAGGTATAACAGAGTAGTCCTGGGGTTATATCTATGATAGAAAGAACAGCAGTAGTCTTCTCTCCTGTCTGGAATGGAAGGAGGCCCTAATCTCCCCTACAGAGGCAGCATAAGTGTCTACAAAAGACTCCCCTGCTTACCCCAGACACTCAGGTATATCTACTAGGTAAGGGGGCAGACCTTCTACTATCATCATCTTCCTCCTGCCACATATACAAGGGACAATTCCCAACTATCTGAATAGTCAAATGTGTCATTGTATATTTGCACTCAGGTCCTATTTTAGTTTTCTGTGCAACCTCAAGGGCTAAAAATAAATTTTTATTAAAAATAAAAGATGAAATTCTGATGTACTTCCATGACTCCAAGAGCTAGAGCCCTGTCCTATAATATAAACTTAGCATAAGCATTTGACATACTGCAGCATATCTAGATCATCTGAAAAGCCACCTTAGAGAGACAAGTATTGAACCCCCATAGGGAACAATCCCTAAAATGTATTTTTAAAACTCAACATTTGGTTGGATATACATGCATATAAAACACACACAAACCCACACCCACCCAGCCATCACCAAAGCACTTTTGAAACAAAGTCCAGAAAAGATTCCAAAATAAAACTCTAGCACCTATAACAAATTTATTCATGGTGAAATTAATTGACAAAAATTCATTAGCCACTAATAATTGTGTCACTCAGCATAAGACTTGTGTCAAAATGCAAGACCAGCAGGAAAATTCTGTTTATTTGTGATGGAGAGCTATTTCAATCACTTAAACAAAACAAATGGCATCCTGTCCTGTCCCCCACCCACCAAGTCAGCTCTTTCATTATATTTGAATTGGCAGTACCACATGGTTATGCACCAAGGCAAGGCATGTTTCCTGTAATAAGTGAAAGCTGTTCTTAAGATAAAAGCAAAAATGTTGGTAAGGTTTAAGATATCAGTTAAGATTAATTTGCTTGACAGCAGTGGGAATTTTATAGACAGAGATAAACTCCAATTTCTTAAAAAATGACATTCAACTGAAAAAAAATATTCAGTGATTGATAGTTCTAGAAAGGTGGTGCTGTAGCACCAGGATTATAAGCAATTGGACAGCTTGCTGGTCTGTAATTTTATGTAGTGTATTTATTCTAAATTGAGATAGGACCTCACTAATCTGCCTACTGTCAACTGAATAAATAACTGGCACTATCTCTGCTTCTCAGCAGATATTAAGTAGCATTAGCAAGATCTAATATTCTTATGGGCTCTGACCTACATAGCCCTAAATAGGCTAGGTTTTTCTTATCCACCCAGGAGATCAGCTCTCTCTCTCTGTAACTTATTGCCACAGCAGAGATCATTTGGAGTAGCGACACTATGCCAAGGAAGAAGGTTGTTGGCAGAATGTCCTGTTTTAGGACCCCCCTTTCCTCTCCAATATTCTCTTCTATCCTAGCCTGTATTTACTCATGTTTGACCTTCAGGGGATAGATTTATTTGAGCAGTATCAGGACAATATAGAGGGGTGGAAAATCTGTTTGATGGACTGTGTGCATATACACATATCATGCACATGCATGCAGGGAATTTTAACTTAAATTAGGTCTACCCCTGAGATATGGATGGGGTTGGGGGAAGAGGAAAAAGAAGAGCTACTGTTCCTCTAATGTCTACATTTGTTTTCTTGTACTTTTACATTTACCTTAGCAGCTCATAGCTTTATCTGGACATTCTCTGGGGTGGAATTTTGAAGTATAATTAAAACATTTCCTCACATAGGAAGGACAGCAGAGACCTACTGTAATTTATATTCTTACAAAACACCACAGCAGCATTTATACATACCAATTTATATTTCAACTTGTAAACATCTAGGGTCATACATCCACATCCAGAAGAACAGCCAGATTTTGAAAACTGCTCAGGATAAAATAGATTTCACTCAGAACAATGGGAGTTCACTCAGCATACGTCACTTCTTATGACTATTTGGTCCCAAATGGCACCATTTACTCAGATTTATAATCACATCTCTCTCACATTTACGGCAAATTAAACATTTGAGTGCCGGACTCTATTTAGAATCTGTGGTTATGCCATGCCACTGGTTCAGATTACATGAACAATTCATTCCAGTGCATCAGTGTGGGGTTTTTTTTTTTTTTTAATAGAAAATGAACAAAAACGAAAACACACACTGACAAAGAGTGTATGCAAAATAAATATTTTATTGGATTAATATACACCTTTTCTTAGAAATCAGCCCTTATGTGTGTCTTCCTAACACATTTATAAATCTTTCAGATAAAGCTTTTCATATAATATTGTTATATCTTGACTATTCTTTGATTAAGATTTTGAAACAATATAAACATTTTTAATAGCTGGAAATGACAAAGGCATCAGAGAATCCAAAGACTAGTCAGATGCTACACGTGCATTAAATGCCGATTGACCACATAAGAAACCCATTTGCTTCCGATTTTATCCACTGGAACACATACGTTTTCACTGGGCTGAGCTACAATAAATCAGTGGTGGAAGGAAAAGAGGGGGAAAAGCTACTTTATTTTAATTTCCTCCATAAAATAGCTAATGTCATCATCCATCTACTGAGAGTCGCATATTCCCATTACTTTAATGAAAGAAATATTTTTATTATAATTTTGCTTAATACAAGACAGAAGAGAGAACTTCTCTTGATATAACAGAGAAGCAGTTTACACACAGACATGGACAGTGTTTAAAAGGAAGGCATGTTTCCAAAGAGGGTGAAAGATGGGAATAGAGTTGTAAGGAAGAAAAATAAAATTAAAGTTGTCCACTGCGCAAAGATAAGGCTTTCAGTGTAAGTACTTTTAGTAGTTTTAAGTAACCTCATATCATTCTACCACTCTGCTAATAGCAACCTTCCCAAGAATTAACTGCAATTTTTACAACAGGAGTTTTTCTTCTTTTGAAGTGGCACTAAGTAACAGCAGTGGAAACAATTATCGGTTGTTTCAAGCTCTCAAAAGTGAATCAGTTATTGCACAGTAAATACCTCATGGAGGTCAGTGTTTTGGGGTTTTTTTATATATACACACATATAAAAAAAGCTAGGCAGAAGATGTATGTTATTTATAAACTGGTTAGGTCTGGAAGTCTTCAAGTTTCATGACACACCTCTAACACGACGAAATAAAACTACACACATTTACAACAGGGACGTACAAATAAATATTAGGTCTTTCAAACAGAAATAGTTTTCTTGATGGTTGATGGAGAGTAACACACTAAGCAAAGTGCCTTAAGTCATTATATACGGGATCAAGAAAAGGTAATAAAGTATGCATCACAGACATAAGCAATGTATACAGTAGCCCAACTCAGCAGCTTTAGTGTCTCCTGAAGCACAAGTAAATTTAGCTTGACACCTTCACCAGAATACGTCATCCAGAGCAGAAATCCACAGCTTTTTTGGGTTGCATGCCAACCTTCGAGAGAAAGGAAAAGCAAAGACAATGAACATCATTTAAAAATAGTACAAGTTTCTCAAAGAAGTGCTACACATTGTAGCATCCCTTGAAAGCATTAAAAAACTAAATATTCGGTACGTTTTCATAACCTTTGTACTTGTAAAAGTCAAGCTACTTAGTACAGATAGGACATAAAAGTCTACAGAGCATACTGAAGTAAAAGCATTATATAATAATAAGCAAAACGAGAGGTTTTGCTGTGTTAGGCTGAAGTCAGGCAGAAGGCAGGGTAGATATGAACCTTACAGACTAACTAAATAAAGAGATGAACAGCGCATAAGCTTTTGTAAACAAAAGCTCACTTCATCAGATGCTTCACCAGTTTTAAAATAGCTGACTTTTTTGAAGCTAGAGGGAAGATTTAGATCCATATCTTCCATTTTATTTTAATGAAACCTCAACATCCATATCTTCCATTTTATTTTAATGAAACCTCAACTAATGTAATTATGTCTGAGATAAAGAGCAGTATGACACTACTACTTTATGACTATATTACAGGCTTTTATATTTTAAAATGTGGAAGTCATTAAAACTGACCTAACATTTAAAAAGGAAGAAAACATTTTCCATCACAAAAAAAATCTTCTTTCCACTTCATTAAGCTTCAAGAGGACTATTTAATCATTCCACCAAAATGCAAAAGAATTACCTGTAGTATCCATTTCATGGCTACGTATCTTGCTTTGTATTGGCAGATCTGCTTGGGGCAGATACAGCTGCTAACAGTCCACTTACTATTTCCCGTCTTATTTCACCAACAATAGATTCTTTGATCTAAAAAGGATGAAATAGAGTTTTGAGGTTATTAAGTTATACACATTTCTGATCTGGGGGAAGAGACACAAAACCAACCAGCATCACAGACACATTTGATAGGAGCAACCTATCCTATGAAAATGAATAACTCTAAAGCCACATAAATGATAATGTTAAAAAGGAAGGGGAGAACACTGTACAGATGGAAAAGAAAAGCATCTTTTGCAAAATAAAACCACCTAAATATAAAGGACTTCAGCAATCATGATGTTGCAGTGTAACTTAATCTTGCTAGCCCACTTAATACCTGCTTGTTTTTACACTTTGTAATTTTAGATTAAAAACTAACAACACATCCAAACCAACAAGGATGGTAAGAAAAATATTCCATCTAATATACACTGAAATTACCCCGCAATGGACCAAGATGCTTTGGAAGGGGCGTGTATCACCTAATTATTTCCCAAATATATTAAAAAATTCACCTGAAGGCATGCAGAACTTTAGACCAGAACCCAATATAATTAAAGAAGCCAACTTTGTAATATACAAAACAGTTTTTTATAGCAAAATATATCAATCGCTGATTTTTTCTGCTTACCATGGGAATACTATTCATGTCAGCAAAGAATCTGTTAATTCAGATCACTATAAACATTTAAAAGGCGATTTAATTTTAGCAAGCTCCTAATTGCAGATGGAAAAAAAAGCAAAAGGGAAAAATAGATTACTCTAGGCTAAAGGATAAAGAAAAGAAGAAAGCAATGAGCAGAAAAGGTGGCACTGAAGCGGTGCATTACACTAATAAGAACGAGAAAAAGGTGGGGTGACAGAAAAATGCATTGATCTATTGGCCAGAATGGGAGATCTCTAGAGCCAAATCACTTCTGCCTTACCTACTGTTAACTGGATAGACATGGGGCACCAGGATGGGGAGAACACAATCAAAACTAGGTTTTGAAAGCTATTCTAAAATCATTTCATGGTCAGTAACATTACCCATCTCATTCAGGTTAAAAAGGGTTATTTTTAGAGGCAAAATTGCTTTGTGTTGTGAACAATAAGTTATTATACTGGAATTGAATAAGTATTCTTTTCCAAGCAGTGGATGTAATCTTTATAAATGTGAAGCTGGATGCTAGGAAAATAGAGAATTCTAACTATGGCTTTGCCGGTAATTCATTCTGCTTCTTGGGTGCGTCTTTCCACAGTCTTTGCCTGATCAGTAAAATGGGTGTAATATTTGTTGAAACCTACATCTCAAGAGCATTTGAATGTATTTCTGGCTCTTTCACCATGTAAAGCCCAGTGTTAGTCTCTCACAATTATTCACACACCTCCAACAGGAAAATCCTCCCCTGGTGCATCAGGAAGATTAAATGGCCATGTCAAAGGGATGCAGCAGGTCTACCAACAGTTATTTATCTCTTGTTCATGCTGGGAAATAATTCAAGCCATGAGCCGTTAGTGGCAGAAGATCATAACTTTATTACTATGCCATGTCAAGCAGAGACGCAGGACTTAAAACGTTTCCGAATATCTTTCAGTGGGAGAGTTTGCTGACCTCTGTGTGTCATTAACTGGAGAGAGAGAAAAACACTGCTTCTGGATCATTAGGACCTTCACTGACAACCATAAAGCCTTAGACACACACACATGCATACCATTTCTACTATTTTAGTTAATCAAACTGCAGAATAATAAAAGGCATGGTTAACCTTCTTGTAATGCTGGGACTAAACGCCAAAAAGCAAACTTGGGACAGCTGCTCATTTAATAACCATCTTTCTGGTTTAACTCTCTCTCTCTCCTTTCAGGTAATCATATGCATTCTGTTAAACTTGCTAGGGATGGCACAATAAGATGCTGGCTGGGGCTGGAGGGATTCTAGGTTTCCTTGGTCACATGACAGTTCCTGTGCACTGGCACCGTTATGCACTCTCATTCCATGAGCTAGGTCCCCAAGTCCACTCCAAATCCTCCTGGTTTCGGGCTATGGGCTGAGAAGGGAGAGGAGGATTGACGTACTCAGCTAAAGACTGCGCTGGTGTCATCGTGAAGGCTTCAGCTTACACGATCACAATCCGCTCTTTGGTGAGAGAGGCAGTGGTCTGCTGAGAAGAGACTCCTCTGCCTCACTGCACTGGGGAGAAGGCTCTTCTCAGCCAGAATGGCTGGTCTGCTCAACCAGGCTTTAAACTAAGCCTGCCAGGGCATGGTGGGGGAGTACTGCCACTGCAAACCCACTGGGCAACTTTTGCAAATCCAGCAGACTAAGGCACTCAAGGGAACCCATCCCTACCCCAGCCCCAGAATGATGTGTAG